ATCTGGCTCCAAAGAATCATTTGATAGACATTTATTGTCTTCCCTGGAATCCTAATTGCAGCAAGAGACAATATAGATGCTAAAAGTCTCAAAAGGTAGAGTTAGTGCAGTAGTATAGGGAGCACAGGTTTTAGAATAAGAAGGCTTGATTATAACCACCAGATTTTGAACAGGCCTTGTACTGAAAACAATGTTTTTCTTCCAGAATTCAAACACATATTCTAGGTTGTTCCTGTGTATGTAACTTGTCTAACAAAACCTTATAAAGTTTCTAAATGCTATACAGACATACTGAGCTTCACAGATGGATATGAAGCCCACTCCTGAATCTATTAATAAGCAATGACCTTGTGACTAAAGAAGAAAGAAGAATAAATTGCATGGCCTAAGACTGTACAGAAAGCAATGTGTTTCATATACCAGAAATGGAACACAGGTTCACAATTTCTGGGAGTGGAGAAAAGATTTTAAAAGATTCTTCGAGCTTATTTATCTAAAACCTGCAATAACTTCTCACATCAGACTAAATATTTTTTCTCCATCTTTCAAATAAGATTTGTCTCAGTTGTTATAATAGTCTTATGCGCTTGTCTTCCTATCACCATGAGTAAGTATGACTTGAGTACTCCACAGGCAGAAGAAAAGGAAAAAACAACAATAACAAAAAACATTTTGTACTCTGGGACAAAGAAATATAAAGCAGGGTTACAGCTTTTAAGTAAAGCTGAAAGGGATACTCCAGGAAGAAGAATGGAGGAGTAAAGGAGGCTGATATTGTTTTGATGTTTGTATTTTCTTTTTAATTATTCCAGTACAGACTGTGGTACTGTGTTAGTATAAATCCAGCTCTAGAGACAGTAGGTTGACTTTATCAGGCTGGTCAGCTACTGCTTAATTAATATAGGGCAATACTCCCGAGGCAGCTACTACAAGCATTTAAACTATCTTTATTCTTTATCAAAACTAGATGTTTCACTAATTAGCAGAAAGCTATATGTGACTTCCCTAGAAACAAGTTTCTTCTTGAGAAAAAAGGAAGGAGATAGGATTGAAGCTCTCAATGGGAAAACAGTGTTAACTCAGAAGAATTGGAATTCCAAACTAAAATTCACAATCACCTTGGACTGGCAAAAATTAGGAGAGGTTTTTGTCTTTTTTTGGCGGGGAGGGGTCATGGAGCTTGAACTCAGGAGCTAGGTGCTGCTGTCACTGAGCTCTTTTTTAATTTTTTTATTGTAAAAATAATGTACAGAGGGGTTACAGTTACATGAGTAAGGTAATGAGTACATTTCCTATCGAGCATTGTTACCCCCTCCTTTATGTTTCCCCTACCATCCTTTGCCTCTCCACCTCCCCAACTCTCCCTCCCCCACCACAAGTTGTAAAGTTTGTTTGTTTTCTACATAGTGTCTTGTACATCTCATTGTTACAATGGGTCATCCTGTATCCTTATTTCAGCATTTTGTTATCTCCCTTCTGCTCCCCAAATTAGAAAAACATATATACAAGATGCAGGGCACCGACATCAAATACAGTGAAAACAGGGGTTATACCATGGGGGAAGAACATACAAAAAAACCAAAAAAACCCACATAGTGCATTTTAGATTCAAGCTCTATTTTTCCCTCAAAGCTAGTTTTGAGCTATTGTGCCACTTCTAGTTTTCTGGTGGTTAATTGGAAACAAGAGTCTCATGGGCCTTCCTGAGCTGGCTTCAAACCCTGATCCTCAGATCTCAGTCTCCTGAATAGCTAGGATTGCAGACCTGAGTTACCAGTGTCCACCTATTTTTGAGCATACACTGGAACAAGAATTTGATAGCTAGTTTCACTTAGCAAGGATGACTTCAAGAAAACTAGAGTATTAAAGAGTTGAAATTCATGGTCATTAAAATTCTAAGATTTGGATTCTTACACTTGCTACATTGTTGCTATTACTATAGAATTGTGATGATTGTTTCTGGAATATCTAGGGGTCAAGTGAAATACAGTGGGGTAGAAAAGTTAAGGATGCGACACTGGTCAGTATTTCAACAGGAGCAGATCTACATTAGGATAGGGTGGGTGTAGATGTGATAGTACTTATAGTAAAAATTCTTCAATCACCTACCTTGGAAATCTTTGTTCTTTTTTTCTGGTCCTGGGGCTTGAACTCAGGGCCTGGGTGCTATCCTTAAATTTCTTTTTTGTTCAAGGCTAGCACTCTACCACTTGAGCCACAGTGCTACTTCTGGCTTTTCCTGAGTACTTTTTTGGAGGTAAGAATCTCATTGCCTTTTCTGCCCAGTCTGGCTTCTAACCCAGACCCTCAGATCTCATCCTCCTGAGTAGCTAGGACTACAGGTTTGAGCCACCAGCACCCAGCAGTTTTATTCTTTTGTTTCTTTTTTTAAAATAATTCTTTGCACATCAACTTTATCTTGCTTTTTATTATCATGTTTTTCTTTGGGCTTAATGCATTCACAGTAGCATATCAAGGGAAGCCCTAATAGTTAGATCCTTGATTATGTTCAAGATGGCCCTAGGGATAGGGTTCAAACAAATCCTAAGGCATTTATTAACTAAATTAGTTTTCTGAGAGAACATTTTCATTAGTTAAAATATGGCTTGTTAGTATTCCTTTGCTTTATTTTCTTACTTAATATACTTTAGAAAAACTGAAGATCCAACAGCTTCAGAATAACAATGAAGTCCATTAGGTTCACCCAAGTATTGTATGTAAATGTTTATAAGTAGCAGGATCCCCCAAGGAAACTGCATGACACTAAAAGTTAAACTGCATATGATTTATTTTTTTCATTATATTCCATTATTATTTTTTGTGTTGGTTCTGGGGCTTGAACTCAGGATCTGGGTGCTATCTCTGAGCTCTTTTGCTCAAGGCTAGCAATGTACCATTTGAGCCACAGCTTTACTTCTGGGTTTGTTTTGGTAGTTAATTGGAGTATTTTGGGCTTTCATGCCCATGCTTGCTTTGAATCCCAATCCTCAGATATCAGCCTCTTGAGTAGCTAAAATTACAGGCATGAACCATCAATGCCCGGCCTTATTATTTTTCATACTCAGAAGATGACAGATAAAAAAAAATTCACTCAAAATGGGTAGATTGGGTAAAAATGAGTTATATGATTCTAGAGTGCATAATAAACACTAAAAACAGGGTTAATAGATATAATGAGATTTCTTTAAATAATATAGTTTCTCATATATATATGTGTATATATATATATATATGTATATATAGATTTTTTTTTTTGTCGGTCATGGGGCTTGAACTCTGGAGCTGGATGCTGTCCCTCAGCTCTTCAGCTCAAGGCGAGCACTCTACCACTTGAGCTACAGCGCCACTTCCGGTTTTCTAGTGGTTTAATGGAGATAGGAGTCTCACAGTCTTTCCTGCCTGGGCTGGCTTTGAACTGTGATCCTCAGATCTCAGCCTCCTGAGTACAGGCGTGAGCCACCAGTGCCTGGTTTATTTTTTACTTCTAATTATACAAATAATATCTGATTTTTTAGTTATAATGGACATACCAACTCTTAAAAATAGGGACTCAGTATTCAATAAAATAAAGAGCTTGAAAGGGACTTATTTCAAATCCTATCTTGGTCACTTCGAGTAATACTGACATTATCTTCTTCAGTAAGTTATTCAATGTATGGCAGTCAGTTTCCCTAGTAAAATGGAGATCATAATTTAGAATTTTTGTGAGGCTTAGAAAGGATAATTCTAAGCTCTCAGCTTGATAACTTTGACATTGACAATTTTCCAAGACTGGGCTACATGGTGAAATGTTTTTTTCCTCAAACACCATTAGTAAACCAAATTAGGCACACTGGCTTACTCCTACAATTCTACCTGCTCATGAGGCTGAGATAGGGAGGATTGTGGTTCTAAGGTAGCTCAGACAAAAACGTTAACCAAGGATCTATCAGGCGTAGAAGTTGGGAGTGCTGACACACACTTGCCATTCCAACTGCTACTGGAAATTTAAAATAGGATAATTTCAGTAGACGCATGGGCTTGGGCAAAATGTGTGACCCTCTCACACAAAAAAATAACCTGTGTGAGAAAGGACTCAGGCATGACTCAAGTGTTAGATTGCCTACCTAGAAATCAGGAGGCCTAGTACCCTAGTACCACAAAAAGAAAAAAATAAAGGTAAGAAAAAATTTATAAATATGATCAAGAAACATTTATCATTTGCACCATTCATTGCCAGTTTGTATATCGTTCCTATACTGCAATTGTACCTTATGTTTTTCCAATGACCAAGAAGGAGGAAAAAAAAATCCAACTTCAGTCTTCTTAAATTCCATAATGTGTGGTTTAGGGAGTTCAGTTTTATGGACCTAAAATTCTTCACGTATATATATTCTTGTCTGATCAAAATCAAAGAACAATTACAGTTTCTACGAAAATAATATTTACTTGTTCAATCTGAGTAAAAATTTTTAGATGTGTTATGATGAGAACCATGTGGCTATGCACCTTTTTAGCTGTTGGTCCACATTTAGAATAAAAATTAGCATATCTAAATATAGCTAAATAAACAAGATTGAAAATACTGCTGGTTGAATGCTAAAATATTCAGGACAGTTTATTATAAATGTATCAGTCAAAGCAGAAACACATTGGGATTCACTTCAAATTCTTGGGCTAGGAAATACAATTAAAAGAGACACTCTTTACCTATAGAAAGTAAAGCTGGCCTTTCAGTACTGATTACAAGGTGAGAGAAATGAACACTTTGATAGCATTGCAATCAGTGTTTGTAATTTGTAAGTGCTGTTTGGAATACAATTCACAAAAGGGGAGTCGCTTCATAGCATTCAGAGGAAAATTCCAATTGGCTTCAAAGCCCACACATACACTTCTGTACAAAAGATGGACTGAGAAACTGAGCAGTGACTAGAGCCAGGTAACTTTTCTTTTGCCTCAATTAAACAAAAGCAGGAAAAAGAATATTGAGAAGCAATAATAGAACAGGGAATTTATCTTACCTCCATCTAGCTCCTCAGCTCCAAAATGATTTCTGTAGAACAACATGATTTCTATCTTGTAACATTTATAGATGGTCACCAAACAAACAAGCAGCAAAAGAATAGCACCGAGCCCTCCAGCAAGTTCAACTGTGTACATTAGCTCTAAGAAAACCAACAAACAAACAACAATAGAGAATTAGAACATATTCACACTTAAAAATCATGAATTCAATTTAAATTCACATTTTTGGAGATAAGACCCATTGTGGGTAGTAGATTGTAATAGTTTTTCTTTATGCAGGAGATGGTTGCTCACTTTTGTGAGACAGGATCTCATTATATAGCCCAGCTAGCTTTGAATGAGTGGATGATCCTCCTGCCTCCACCTCCTGAGTGCTAGATTTATAGGCATGTACCACCATTCCAGCTTGTGTGAGAATTTGACCTTTCTGTAACTTTTAGCTCTGTTTCCTCGGTAACTGCATAAGATGATATGTTATGACTATGTTGCTAAGTAACCTTGCTTATGGTAAAAATGAAACTTGGTTGGTAGATTGCATTTGGACTAAAAGAATTATAAATACCTGATTGAAAATTATAGTATTGGTTTGTCTGAGTGCAGCAAATCTTATACATAAACATATCTCCTGGGGAGATCCTGGAAACTATGCTTGTGGAATTGATAAAAAGAAATGAAGCTTTTAAGCTAGCACAGCTTCTGCACTTAGCCAATGTGAACCTTGATCCTTTTCAAGTGAGAGTTTGGGGTGAAGGGAAATGGAGAGCTGAAAGCACATAGTTCCTGGAAGGCACTGTTTTTCTTTGAGTTTTGGGAGGACTACCTAATGAATGTTGACTCCTGCCAGGAGGGCCAAAGTGATCTACCTTTATCTTGAAGGCGGAATGCTTACTTGGACTTTCGAAGTAAGCCACCTAGTGGATGTAATGTTACTATCCCAAAGAGGATTTTTCTTAAAAGTGTAGACCTTTGAAGTAAGCCACCTAGTGGATGTCATGTTACTATCCCAAAGAAGATTTTTCTTAACTGTATAGACAACAGTGTAGCCTATATTATTACAAAATTATCAAATAAAATTTGGGATAAAATATTTACTTCTTTTTCCTCATTTAGAACGTATTAGCCTTGTAACAAAACTAAAGCTAATGGTATTCAAATAGTAAGCCACCATCAAAACATATTGAAACTCACTTCACCTAAGTGATTATGTCTGCATGTTATCCATAATTGTCATAGTCCACATATCATTACTAATCGATAGCCAGCATTTTCTAAAGTTCAGAACTATGTACAAAAGTACTAGTTTCCTTAATTAAGTACAAATATTTTTTAAATCAAAGTACTAGAATGATGATGTTTTAGATTACATAGTTAACAAACTATCAATGGGTGGATTACTTACTTTCATAAGCTTACAATTAATGTAAGCTTTGATGGAGAGAGTTAAACTGCTAATTCAGTAATATATGCTCTGGAATAATATGACCATTCACAAATAGGTATAAAATAATGATAGGAACAACACAGCATAGTGAAAAATAATTTGAGAAGTGTGGCTATCACAAGAGAGCTGTGTTTGTGTGTTTATATGTGTGTGTACATGCATGTACACATGCATGTATGTAATAAAACTATTATTTTTATGATAATTACAAAAAATTCAGACACATTTTTGTATTTAGTTCTTTATTCTCAATTAAATAACTTAGTAAATTAAATGCATATAACTACTATTTAATTAAGTATGCTTTTTGTATTTAGGAAAATTGATTGTAAGATAGAAGAAAATACTTTATTAAAAGTGAAGTTTATGAACTTCAGAGAGAAAAACAAGTAAAAAAATGAAACATTTTACAAATCTAGAATTTCTTGCACAAGAAAAGAACTGGAAATGTAATCAATAACACTTAACAATTAATATCCACTCCTACATATTGCTAGTAAAAGAACATAATGGCACTTCTACAGAGGAAGATATGGGAATGGTTTCTAATAAAGTAAAACACGATTCTTCCTTGTGAACATCAATTTCATTTCTAGGTATTTACCTAAGAGAAATATAAGTAGATATACTCATGGAAACTTGTGCAAGAATGTTTGGAGTGGTCTTTTTCATAGTAGCCACAATGGAAAGAATCAAAGTCCAATAACAGTAGACAATAACCATTATATTCATAGGATAAAATATACTGAGGAAGAAAAAAAAGAGCAGACTACCCATATACATGGTCTGCATAAATCTCAAGATTACATGGAGTAAAGGAAAGCAGATACAAAGTACTAACTACTGTATTAGTCTAAGTAAAAGAACCAGTATAATTCATAGTGATATAAATCAGAAACTGAAGGCTTCAATAATGGGTAAAGGAAAGGCTTATTGCTAAGGGGTAAAAGGGAATTTTGGGGATAAAGGAAATATTCTGCATCTTATTTTGGATGTGGATACACAATTGTATGTATTTGCCAAAACTGATTGATGTGAAGGCTTAACCTTATGAATTTTATCTTAGGTTAATCACACTTAAATTCTTAAAATTTTGTTTACTACCAAAAAAATGATAAGCTCTATAAGTTCTCCCAGGCTAGGTGGGAAGAAGTTCTAAAGAAATCTAAGAGTGAGAAGAGCAGCTCTGCTTTAGGTAATTTCCCATACAGGAAATGATTCTTTTATATTGCCTTGGGTTTTTTTTTTCCTGCATATAGAAATACAGGCATAGTCATGTAGCATATCTACTCAAACGGCTTACGAGCCAATCAAACACTAGGCCTGAAAAATATCTTAACAAGCTAAAAGACACACTCTCATTTTCTTCAAGTGTTGTTCATAAAATTGTCTTCCCAAAATTTAAACATTTATTTTTGAGAAATTGAATATAAATGAGTTAGAGAAAAAAATGTATGCTATTTTGTTTTAGAGAAGTTATTGCCCAAACACGAGTTTTTTCCTTTGCTAGATGTCATGAGCCATTCAAAAAATTATATGTAATACTTTGCCATATTACATTTAGCCAATCAATAGTATTGTCTGAAATGTAATAAGAAAAAAGGTTTCGTGTAGCTTAGCAATTATAGGAATGGTCTTCTGTCATTTGAATAATTCTTTAAATTAAAAATTAGATGAAAAGTTATATATACTTAGAAAGTGAGCAAAAATATTTTAAGCCATAATTAGTTGTTGACTAATAACAGGAATACTGAAAACTAGTCCAAAGAAACAGTATTTAAAAGCAGCTAATTTATTCAAGATCCTTTCAGGATCTCAGATTTTCCCCAAAATACTTCAGATACAGAAACATCCAATTCTTACAGAATCTGTATGTTAGTGATGAAATTTTGTCTTTTCCCAAGGGCACACATCAGGGCCTGATTCTCGAAAACTATGAAATATACATGTCTAAGCAATATAAATGTGTGCAGGTTACATTTTTTCCCATTTGATTTGTTAATCACATTGGTTTATACAGCATGGGCAGGAAAATGGTACATAAGATTTAGTCTCCACTTGATCTGCTCCAATCTACAGAATTCATTAACTTGATTCCTACCTATTATTGAGTATCCATTAGGTCAGAGCAAAATTACTAGGGGTTAAATTCTATTACAGTTAAAAGACATTATTTGGGCCCACTATTGTATTTTATCTTTGCATTACTATGTGAATGTGAATAGTGTTGTCCTAGCAAATGTCATTTTTTCCCTTTGAAATAGGATCTGCTTTCAGCTCTAGTTCAAGTTGCCTGGAGTAGCAGCATTTAAAAAAAATGAAAAGATTCCATTTCAGCACGATTCAACATCTGAGGATGGAAAGAGAAAGAGCAGACCTTTTAAAATCTGTTTAACCTTTGTGTTATTTGGTTAAAATGATAGGCTTTACCACCTTTAAGGGACTGAGACTGAATATTGAATATTGTAAAGCAAAATCGCTAAGGAAAACCTAAGGGAAACTGGCATTTGTTTAAACACAACAAATGAACAAGTGCCAAAGAGTTACAATTTAAGGGCACCAGCAGTCATTTAGTTACAGGCAATTAACAATGGAAAGCTCTAGTATGAGCTAAGGGAAAACACATTGATTATTGCTCCACTAGTAGACTGCTTTTGGAATAAATTGCTTCAATTTAAAACTAGATTTGCTACAAGCATTTTGAGCAATGACTACAATTTTTTTCTTATCAAGACAGTTGGAGCAAGCAACCCTTTAAAAGAAACAGCTAATTAAAATAAAGCACATGCCATCTCTTAGTATATTGGATTACACTGCAAATAATAAATACATTTGGTTTACACTAATCTTGCTACAATTACCTAGTGTAGTTTAGATTCCTATTTTTTTTATTTTCTCATACCTAGTGCTACTGTTTGCAAGCTCTTTCTGCTAGAAATCTCTGAAGTAAAAATTTTAACAATGTAAATAAAAGTTTATGTGTATTTTGGAACTTGGAGTTTCCATTTGTATTTCTCTTTGATTTCTATACACATATTATCTATATATGTATAAAATGTCTAAACTGTATTTGAGAAGTTTAGATAGCTTATGTTTGCACAGTTGATTGAAAAATAGATTCATTCTTTATATAAAGTTTGTTGAAATATTCTTCCCTGATTTATATGCTGTAGAATACAACTTAGTAGAGAAAATGCATGATAGACACTATAATGATCCCAGTTTATTCATTAGCTTCACCAACTACATTTTTCTAAGCTCATTGTGTTATAAGGAGCTAAAGTTTATAAAGATTTATCCATCCACATAAATTCATATACATATATACATATTTATTTCTCTGGAGCAGTATAACTTATTTTTTCCTGGCAGAAGGATAATTATGCTCAGCCTACAAAGATATTCAACTCAATTCTACAATACATCAGTGCAATTTAGAAGCAGTTGTAATTTTTTTTGGTAACACATTAAGAAACTGAAATACTATTCATGTAATAGCAAGAAAATGTTTTGGGAACATATAAACTATTATGGAAGGATAGCAGTTTTGCTCTTGCATAAACAAGTCCTTTTTGGAAGCAGGCAAGGTGTATAAAAATATAATAATGAAAATTAAAACAACTAATGAATGGAACAGCTTGATCTGTGTGACCAAACATTTGGACAAAATATTAGCACTTTAGTAAGAGGCTATCATGA